TCAGGCTCCTTTGGATGCAAGTATAGAAATGAGAAATGTCTCACCTTGTCCATAGTGGTTGCTGGTTGTAAATAAGTCCCCATCACCCAGGTGCCAGCACAGTCTCTCACAGCTGAGACTCTCTTAGAGCCACTGCAGCTCTCTTCTCTGCAGAAACCAATGCATGGCACCCAGAGAGCCTGACATTAATTACTCTGATCAACACTGAATCACAAAATGCTGAGCTGGAAGGAACCCACAAGGATCATTGAGTCCAGCTGGGAACATCACTGGGGAAGCACCTTTGGCATGCACAGACATGACAGAGGCTGGAGAGATGAGGTTTCATAAGCATTGCCCTGAAGAGACCACTATCAGCCCAAGGCTGGCATTGGATTTACCTGTTACACAGAGGTAAATCACACTGATACCAGTTGGAGATACTCAATTTTCACACAGTTTCTAAAGTGAGGCCACTTCTGGAGATGTTTTAACCTGGAATCACATTTTAGAGATCTGCTTTTGAAAGGTGGGAGTTAGGTGACCCCACTCACTTTTATCCAGTCAAGACTGTAATGGAAACAGAGGAATGTGATGCATTCACAATTACATATTTGCAGCAACACACCCCTGTGTGTGGCAGTAGGATGGTTTTAGAATTTCTGGACCTCATTAAAAGCCTATTTGCTGAAGCAGCCCACGAGGCAAACAGCAGATAGACAGAAACAGCAACTAAAGTGAGAAAGACCCTTTGAATTCTTTGAAATACTTACAAACAGCTTTAGGAGCCCTGGGATGAAGTGAAGTACTTTCAAGCAGAGACAGAAAACCTAATGGATATAAAAATCCTTTTTTAGCTCTTGGTGAGATTTGTTTTCAAAGACCTAGCTATGATATGAGAAAATGAATTAGGTCATCCAGTCTGCCTCCTCCTGTTCCAGGAGAGAAGTGGTCCCAGTGCTATATTTTGTAACACTTGGCTCAGCCCAGCTAAGCCTGATTCAGTCACCATAAACCAAACACACTTCTTGGCAATCTTCTCAGTCTTTCTAAATATTTCACTCTGTGGAATTTTCCCCAGTATTCCAACAAGAATAATTAAATACAGCATGTATAAAGACACTCTGATGTCATAATCATCATGCTGCTGACTTCATATTTATCTCCTTAGATAACCCTAAATAACCTCCCAGTCAATGTGGTGGTGATAGCCCTCTAATATCTGTCTAGTTATGCTCCTCCCCATTTGAACACATTATTGTCATGCTCTGCTGTGACTGAGCCTTCACAAGAAATTCTTTCAGATATTTTCCTGTCTGTTCCTTCCCCTTTGTATTCAAGACATTATCATTATTACTATTAATATTATTATGATTATTACACTTGAGGAAAAGGACAAGGTAAAGAAAGAAGTGAAAAGACAAAACCACATTTTTTCATGCTACCCCAGCTGTGCAGGCACAGAAAGATCCATTCTTAATAGCTGGCCTACACACATAATTCAAGTTCTACCTCTAGGATTTATGATAAGGGTATTGGTTTCATTTCTGCTTTCTCTTACTTGCCTCATACAATCTCTTTTCCTCTTACATTTTTATTAGAACCTTTGAGTTTTCCATTGTTGTTTGGACAGTTTAGAGAAATGATGCTGCCCCTGCAGAAGGTTAACCAGGAAGAGTTTCTGATCTTGCACATCTCAGTATCAAGATGATGAACAGAGAATATCCCTTGAAGGATTTTCTTTTCAAAATCTACTGCCAAGGGACTGTACAAGAAGTTCCACAGTCACTTACAGAGGGAAATTAATCTGAGATCCCCATAGCATTTGTTTTCCTTGCATATTACCCTTTCTGCTTTAAAAGAAAGAAAACACAGAACACAGTCATTCCCTCATCAAAGCAGCCTTTCAAATTCGTCAGTCTTTTCAAAAACATAATCTTAATTGATTATTGTTTTTTTAAATTATCCTAACATAGCCTTCAAACACAAAGTGGTAGAGGAAGATGTACACAGATACTTCAGATTTTTAAAAACATTTATAGTATGAGAAATTACTTTCTGACCAAATCAAGATTTTTTCAGCATTTGACATTTTAAACATCTAAAGCAGAACAGCAAACAAAGTAACATACCACAGCTTATTTTATGTGTTAAAAATGTCCTCAGCAGTTGCATACAAACATCTCTCTGAAACACACAGAGCTACAAGCCCTACCCCAGGCAGACTAAGCTGCCCTTTACAGGGTTCTCCTGGGGTAAACTCCCATCCTGGAAGCAGCTTAACCTCCTGATGCTCTTCACTCAGTGATCATTATTCTAATTGTACTCTTGGGGAAGCAAAGGCAAGAAAGACAAAGCATTTATCTAAAAATTTCGAGGTGCATTTCACTGAGCTGTGTAAACTCAGCACCCTGTTTTAATAAGAACAGACTCTTTCCACTTGAGGAGAAACTTTGTTCAAGTTATTACTGTTCTGAGCAAAGCACAGGTATTTTAACACACTGGTAGCTCTGCCAGAAAGCAAGACTGAGTTTTTTTTTTTCCTTCTACCATTACAAAGTATAGTCACATGCAAGTGAGCTTCTGCTTGTCTGCAGGGCTTGCAAAAGTAAGAGGTTCTGGCAATAGCTGCACTCCCTATAGGATATATACAGCAACTGGGTCAGCCTGTTTACAAAATAGCTTGTGATTATCACAGCAGTGCTCAGCAGCTATGAATACATCATACCAGAGTCTAATTAAAGACAGGCATAGCTAAAGCACTGCATAATAAACAGTGGCAATAAAGCTGCTGAGGATTGGGAAGAGGTTAGTTTTTATTCTCAGCCCCTTGAAGGTCAGCTAACCAGGTTTATTCTGATCAAGAATTAAAACATACATCTTCTGAGGGCAGGCAGTTCATATCCTCAGGAAAATGGTGAATTTTGTAACAAGACACAGCAATTTCAATGGTGAAAAAAAATCATTTTACCGGGAAAACTGAGAATAAAGAGCAAGTTAAACTTGGTAATTTGTACATAAAATGGATGTACCTAAAACACCATTATACCAATAGCTGTACAGAGCATAAGTGTTCCTATCCCTACCCTTCAGAATGTGGCTGGAATTCTCCTTCCTCTCCTAAATACACCTATTGCATCAGTATCTCATGTAATGCTTCGGGATTGACTCCCAATCTGTCTAGTCCCTGTGATTCACACAATGAAGACTTCTTCAGGCCATGTCTATTCCTAAATGACAGAGCACAGGTTAGAAGGGAGGCAGCAAAGGGCCTATTTCTATCCCAGCTATGGAAAGGAGAAGGCTGTAATTTCTGGAACAAATAGTTATGCTAATGGTCCCAGCAAGCAATGGATTATACTAACACTAGAAATGTTCCACTACTGGCTGAGTCATCATTATTTTAGGGTGAAGACTTAGAGGAAAGGAAAGAACGATTTTTGAAAATACCAAGTTCTAGCAAATGAGTACTACAGAAAAAAAACCCCATGAAAAATTAGGCAGAGCAACCTCTCTTGTATTTTTTTCAGAAAGTGATACTTTTTTTTTCCTCCATCCATTTACTTTTGTAAATGCTGCACAAAAAAAGGTGAAAATCAATGATTCATTCCCTTTGTGTCGCATCTACTTCACAGGCACTTCCATCAGTTTCATCATGTTGTACAAGTATTTTACACATTGCTCTAAGTGTACTCATAACCAAGTCTGGCCACACACACAAAGTTTAAGGCTACTCCTACTTCTTTTACAGAATCACAATTCCCTTTTTGATGGCTGCACTTTTGGTCCCTTGTGTGTTTATATGTGAAAGCTTTAAGATTTTCACAGCACCAGAAGAGATTGTCTTGATTCACCTTAAATAGCAGGGAAAACATTTTTATTTATCTTGGATTTCATTTCAGAAGGCACCAAGAGCTGTGCAGGGCTGCTGCAGTAGCTCTGCTGAAGAGGTTCAGAATGGGGGCTTCTCTTCAGCAAAGCAAGCAACAGAATTATCTATTCCCAAAGGTGAATTCAAGGGAACCAGACCCTTTCCCTCAGCTCCATGCACATGTCCCAGAACCAAGAACTTCTTGGAGATCCCATCACAATCTCCAGGTACTTGACTGCCAGACAGGTCACAACCCACAGAGAGCACATGTAACACAAATATCTTAAGCACATTACAGTTAAGCAAAAATTCTAAGTTACTAAAAGGATTTTAAATTACAAGAGAGAAACTGACCACTGCAGTACAGAGCAGTGCATATAAAATATTAACTTTTATAGCATTTCTTTGACTGTGGTAAGAACTCAGGTGCTTCTCCCACAACATCGCAGATTTCCTAAAACCTAAGCTTCTCTTAGAGCTCAGAAAAACAGGTAAGTAAGGACACTGAACAAGAACTATGCAGCTCCCCAGAAACACCTTTTAACACAATCAGCACCTCTTCAATTAATAATCTTGGTGAGGTAGAGCTGTTACAAATTTATGTAGATCCACTGAACATTAATATTAGCAACCAGAGGAGCCTAGTGATAAAACCCCTACTGAATGCTAACAAAAATGTTCATCTTGGGTAGTGTTTCATACATGTCTTCCAGGCATCAGAGTAAGTTTACTGTAAAAAAATTATTTAAAATTTCATTATTGCATATAATAGTTTCATTATTAAATGGATTTAGTTACTCAATATTTCAGCCTCTTCTGTTGTGGTATCTGAAAGTTTAGAGTACAATGAAAGTGCTGTGGGCAGGCAGTGGTTTGGGAAGTATTGTCCAGTGGAAAGCACAGAACAATAGAATGTAACAGCAACTTAAACTTAAAAACTTTTAAAAACTTGAAAAAAAAAAAAAAAAAGCACTAGAGGTCCCTGAAATTTCACTAATTATAACAGCTAAGATTGACAAGCAGAAGCAGGAATCCTTGTTTTTTCGTGGCCACATGCAAAACAGTGTTGATATTAACACAAGAAAATAAAACAGACAATGAAAAACAAACAATTTCCAGATCAAGAAAAACTGAAAATAGCTACAGGTGGTTTCAAGAAAAGCACTGAGCACTTTTTTTTTTATTACTGTGCTGCAATATACAATATATTTGAAGTACAGAAATTCAAAACCAGTAAAACTTCAAAGACCTAGGTGCATTCCCAAGGTGGAGTCCACTATTTCACAGTGTGTTTCTTGTGTCCCACGGGCAGCTCACTTGCCAAACCTTCTCCAGCCATTCCCCAGCATTTCCAGGGTAGTCAGTGACACTGTTCACACAGCACTATTTCTTCTTGAGAGCTCTCTTTCCTTCCCCCTTCTTTGGTTTTTCCTTCCCACGGAGCTTTTTCAATCGCCTCATCTCCTCCTTGAAGTCCTGATGCTCATCCCTAGATGGAGAAGAAGGAATAAGGTTTACTCTTTCTCTTGGCATGCACAGATACTAGTACTTCTTTGAACTATAAGCTAATGGAAAAAAACCAAAAATCAAAACTTTTTTTTAACCATGAAGCCCATACTGAAGCTTGCTGCAATGTACTGCATGTCACTGCTGGCAGTATCACTGAATAATAACGAGAAATTTTCTCTGATACTTTCAGAACTAACAGGGTTGTCCTTTTCAGCAACAAAGGCTGTGTGCACATATGTATTATTTCAATTGCATTTATTGATCCCCTTTGTTTAAAAGAGCAGTAAAATGCCAAAATCAGTAAGAGACAAGAATAAGATTTTCCCCCTTGTTACCCAGCTCAGCAGTGCAGCCACAGCACATTGTGTTCCTGAGTTCAGGTCATTAGCTCCTAGGGAAACAGGGCCATGCTGAGCAGTAATTACAGCACATGGCACTGCTCTCAGGTGACTTCAGGAATGAGTTATGAAGATGGCATCAGTACTGGTAGAATCTTAATAAGAGAATAAAACAAGAGGATGAACGGGCTGGCAGAGATAATGGTTCCTCAATCATTTTCTAATAAGTTCTATTAATCTGTCCCTGTATTTTTTAGTGCAAAGTGATTTTCAAAACTGCATCCTATGTGGCCTAAGATGGCTGCACTGCTATTTTTGAACACAACTTCTCTAAACAGAAACAAAAAGCTTGTGATTTATTACTGGCCCCATTAGTCTGATTCTTCATTACCGATTTTTTTCCTTCTACCAACTCTGTATACAGAGCAGCTAGAGAGGGAATTTAATAGGGGAAGGAGAAGAATAAAGAACATTAGCATCACATGGAGGCTTTCTGTATAAACAGCAAGTCTAGAAAGTGTTGGCACATCCACCGAAATCAAGAGCATCCTGGATGCAATTCCTGATGGTTAGTATTGTCAGAGTAGCAACAGGTAATCTGTTCTGACTGTACTGAGGGTTTGCAGCCCCACTTTTAAAGGTTTTTTTAGTGCTACCTGATTGAAGTAAAAGAATTGCATTTGATGCCTGCTGATGTTCTTCAGCAGTACAATTCTCCCTGATCCAGACTCTGGAAGTTAATTTAGAAATTAGACAACTGGTTTGGATGAAACTGAAAATAACAAGACTATTTAAATCACATTTGAATTTAATTTAATTTATGACGAAGAATAAAAAAGGCCCTCCGGCCTAACAGAGACTTTCTGTCTCTTCTAAATTTCACTTATTAGCTGTTGAATGACTGAGAAATATATGGTAAGTCTGGTGTTAACATCACCTCTTTGTAGCACATTCATTTGCCATATTCAGAACTACAGACCTATCTCCTGTCTATCAGAAAGCTTTCTTCTTTTCCCTACAGAGCAAAAGCAGAAACTATTTCTAAGGTAACTGCTTGCCCACAGCTACACTCAAGTCTCTCTCACAAAAATTTCCAATGATGGTAGAATTTAGACAGCAGTCACTTTGCTCTCTTTGCCCTCAGTGCAACAATCAAGAGCCTATTTCCATATGTACCATATTGAGAACTAAACATTTCCCCTCTTTCCCTTGAGGAAAACAAGTGCAACAAGACTCCCACCCACCCTTTCCAGCCTCCAGTCCTGCTCCCAAGCTCAGGATGTACCTGTAGAGGCCGAAGTAGCGGAGTTTCTTCATGAGGGCATGGTAGGTGTTGTGGGGGGGGTACCAGTTGTACACCTCCTCCCTCTTGGCCAGGGGCTGCTCACTGAACAGCTTCACCACTCTCATGGATTTGGAGTCAGTGGGCCTGACAACCTCACCAAATATTTGGGCACTCAGCCGGGCCATGCGAAGGGCGTAGGTGGAAACGTTGGACATGTCCCCGGGAACAGTGGGGGCACACACAGATGGACCTTCCTGCAACAGGAAACAGAAGAGCCACAGCTCCTAAGATGGCTGAGTAGAACAAGCCAGCCCAGAATTAAGGCCAACAAAGGAATGTATCATACTCTGATCACTCATCTGACATCACACATTCCTTGCATAAAATCAGTCTAATACTTTAGCATGTAACCTTGCATATAAAGAACATCTGCATGAATTCAGGGACAATTCCCAGCTCACAGACAGCAATACAAACTATAAAAGTACCTCCACTACACCACAATTTACCATGGCTAGCACAGTTTATTAGCAGAACTCACTCAGCTTGCTCACGACACCCCTTAAACTCCAGCCACAGGAACAATTGCAGTGTGAGCTCTCCCAAAAATCATACCTGTGTGATACCACTGACTGCTACACCAGCACAAGGTAAATCACCACTTGACCATACAGAGAAAACAACCTGGAAGTTTCTCACCCTATTTAAAACATTGTTATAATCCTTGTAACAACGGGCTATAAATGAATCACACAGATCTTTCCCATCTCAATTCCCTTTCCTTGATCATCTCCAACTTTTTCTCCATTCTCCTTTCAGTCTCTCACAATGCCTATTCTTTTTGAGAGGAAAACAGCAGTTTTCCCATGCCAGATTCCTTTTTCCAAGAAAATCAATCAGCAGCTTCCCATTCTCTTTTAGTAATCTCTCACCTAAAAACCTCTGCCACAAAAATTCCCTGAAGACAAAACCATTGGTATTAGACCACCAGACAACATCCACTCTGCTAAAGTAGCATGAGAAGGGTGTTCTCTCAGCTTTTCTAACCTGCCCCATTTTAAGTCTTCTTTACTCTTTGCAGAATGGGTTGTAGTAGAAAAGATTAGGAATCCCATAATCCTGTATTTGAAGTAGTATTTTGTATGTATTTTGCCTTTTTGAATGAGTGATCACATAAGTCTTCAGACAAATTAAGCCAATTCATTCAAGAGCACGACACTGAGGTTAAAGTTTAAAATTCTTGTTTTAAAAAACATTGCACAGCCGATTCCAGAATATGAGCATAACAAATTAAAGATCATGGATAAGAATAACCATCAGGACAGTGCTAAGACCACCTCAGAATGATTGCACAGAGCCTGTTGTTCAATAACACAAATTTGAAGTATTCATAACCTCATGTACATGTATCTGCTCATTGAAGGACCTCTTTTGATTTACTCCTGTTAGTAAATCACTCTAAAGGAAGCAGGAAAGAAAAAACAAGCATGAAAATAGTATGAGTAATTTGAGAAGAGACAATAATGGAAAAAGTAACATAAGAGAAGGCAAAGCATAAGAGACCTTGAGGTAAGGCAGTAGGCCTAGTGTGAAAAAACAGCTCTTAAAAGATTGCAAGGCAGCACTTGAGCATGTTACAGGGGGAAATAATCACTAAGTTTTGCTAAATCACGTGTTTCAGAACAGTTCTAATTCCTACTTTCGGAGACAAAGCAACAAATAGTCCCCCAAACTCTTCACCAGATGACTCCAAAATCGTCTTTATCACCAGACTCAAACACACAACTTGCTTAATCTCTACGTACTGCAGCCTTAAAATGAAAATAGCTTCAGCTCCCGAACAATGCACACCTGTTGTCTGAGCAACCTGATCGTCACTTCTGAATTGCTAAAGGAATTATAACACCAAGCTAAAGGAATTATAACAGCCCGAGCTAAGGCTGGAGACCTCCATTAATCCTTGCCCGACTAAGAACGCCTGAGTGAGAAGCAAGGCAAAGGCTGCAAATTCCCAAGAGCCAGAGCTATCCAAAGCCTGTTCTGGGGTGATCCTGTGAGACGAAAGAGTACTTTCATCAGATTATTGTCACCTGCAGCAAGGACATCTCCAGGATGGCCCCTAGGACCCAGCACGGCTAACCCGAACCCAGCGCTCAGCGCTGCCGCTCCACCTGCTCCCACCCAAAGCCAAGCGTTCCCGTCCCCCGCTGCCTTATTTTCATTCCCGATCCACCCGCTTGTTTCGGACCGCTCCTTTCCCACTCGGACCACGCCAGCAGAACGCTCTTTTCCCCGCGTTACTTCTGCTTTCCCTAGGAGCACAGGGGGAGGACCAGGCCCCAACCCAGGAGCTCAACCCGCGGCGCCGCCTCAGGCCGCGCTTCCCTGCGGGACGGGAGCCCGAGGGCTGCGGCTCCCGGGCACACGGCCCTGCCCGGCACCCCGGGACCCTCGTTGTGCCCCGTTCAGCCCCGTTCGGCCCCGCTCACCCGAGGCCGGAGGAGCGGCGGCGCTGCCGGAGGGGAGGCGGCGCGCACGGGTGACGTGAGGGGCGGGACGGGCGGCCCAAGCAGCCTCCTCCTCCTCCTCTTTCTCCCTCTGCTGTTTGCTCCCCTGTTGCAGTTATGTCAAGACGGCCACGGCTAGCGACAAGTAGTCCTTTATTAGAAAACTTTTAATGCTTTCTTTCAGTGTGCTTCTTTTCTTACAACTCTAACTCCTTTCTTACAGGCAGCTCCACGCAGCTCTCCTCTCAAACACCAAGCTGTCCTTTACCCGGCCGCCTCACCCTGCCCGTCCCTCACACCACATCTTCTCACCTTGTTTATCCCTTGCACGACCACATGTTCTTCATCTCCTCAGAGCACAGCCAGCAGCCTCCATCCCAAACTGCAGCAGGCCCCCAGTCTGAAGCTCCAACTCGAACTGTAACTCTAACCAGTAACCAACTAACCCACTCCTTCTTAACACCCAAACTCATTGGGCAGGCAGAGATGTTCCCACTCCTCAGTGATCACTACAGCTGTAATTCATCGGGAGACATTGCCTTCTGTGCTGTCCTTCCAAGCAATCTTCCCTCACTCCCCTTCCCCGCACTCAGTGCGGCTCGGTGCGTGCTGTCCCCGCGGCCATGGAGTCACGGAATCACAGAATATCCTGAGCTGGAATCACAGAATATCCTGAGCTGGAATCGCAGAATATCCTGACTTAGAATCACAAAATATCCAGAGCTGGAGTCGCAGAATGTCCTGAGCTGGAATCGCAGAATATCCTGAGCTGGAATCGCAGAATATCCTGACTTGGAATCGTAGAATATCCTGAGCTGGAAATGACCCTCAAGGATCATTGTGTCCAGCTCTGCACTGTACAACCCAAAATGTCACACACCACGAGAGTGTCACACCCACTTGCATCAAGAACGTTCTTATTGTGACTCTCATTTGTTTCCCTCCCTGTTTGTGAGCAGCTTTGGAGTTACATGCTTAATCTGATGATGAAATGAGGAAAGTGGTTGTCCTCATTAAAAGCTGATGACAAGTCTGCATAGAGCCTTATTCTTTTGTGTGATATGTCCACACTGACATGTCCAGTTGGCAGCTTTCTCCTCAAGAACATGTGTTCAGGTTAATAAAACTGAGCTGGTTTTACTCTTGGGAGAAGGCTTGACTTCACATAAAGAGCTGAAAGCCAAGTGTCTTCACTCATGGTCTTGACCAGGCTGCAAACTGGGGCAAATCTCAAAATGTAGTTTTAGTGAAAGGAGATGAAAGGGAGAGTTTGGGAGCCACAAATGTTTTTCATTCACTGTGTTTCCAAACCACTTGGAGAGATTGTTTTTTTTTTGCTCCTCAAATTCAGGGCGTATGTCTCTTGTGCTCCTTGCTAGCCCTTACCCTCATAACTTTTGCTTCCCTCCTGCTACTTATTTTCAAAGATGAAATTTATTATTATATTCAGCTGCAAAAATATATCTGCCTGGGCAAATTTACCTGTGCAATCTCAGTCTTTCAGCACAAGTGTCTTCTTGGCACAGGTGCAGGTGGTGAGTTGATCACTCACCTTCCAGCCCCAAACCTGCAGTGGGGTGTGTGCCCAGGGGAGCCCCTGATGTGTGGGGATGGGCACCTGACCCTGCTGTGCTTCCTCCAGCACCCCTCTGACCACTGCCAATCCCACTAGACATGAGCTTTCCCAGTGCTTGATTTATGCTAATTTTTAATCAGTGCCAGGAGGTGCTAAATCAGACTCTGTGCAAACATCTGAGTAAATGACAATTATGTGATTGCATTTATATGCCAAACGTGTAATGCCATTGAAGGAGGAAATTGGGTTTGTCTGGCTCACCCTGTTTTCTAGAAGAGCAGATTCTGCCAAGCATTGAACAAATTGTTATTCTGTCATCCTTCCTTGATTAATTTTCTGTCACCTTTTCCATGCTTGTCACAGGCAGAGCAGCCTCATGGCCTGGGCAACCCCGTCCCCTTTCTTATCCTTTTTGAATATTGACATGATCCTCTAATTTCTTTGTATTCCTGATCTAGTGGAAGGTGTCCCTGCCCATGGCAGGGAGGGATTGGAACTAGATGATTTTTAAGGTCCCTCCTGACCCAAGCCTTTGTATGATTCTGTGATTATTAAGAATTAACATTCATGGAATTTCTTTAGCCAGTTATTCAAACACTGTCATATAAAAGTTCTCTAGATATCCCAATTTTAAAATGTTTGCTCTAGTAGATCTTGCCTAGCATTTCCATTAGTGACTAATGGAATTTTTTTTTTCCTACAAGATAAGAAAAGTGTCTCTTCCTTAATCTTTCTAAGGAGGAAATAGAGGTTTTTAGCATTTCTGCCACTTCTGTGCTATGTTACCATCTCTAGACATACACATTAGCAATGTTGCACCCCTCATTTTACTGTCCATAGTCACACCATTTATGCTTTTTCTGTAGTTTTCCTTGTTTGTATTAATAGAACATTTTTCCTATATTTTTACCTTTCTATGCTGTTCTATACCTTGATTTTAACTTCTGAGTGTTTCCTTCATCCTGCTGCTGAGACAAAGTTGTCCTTCAGCCAAAATTGGCCATTTTGTTAATTAAGCAATCATGACTTTATGGAGTAAGATCATAAGTATTCTCATTTACATTTCTATCTCTATTTTTGAATCGCAATTTTCTCATCATTTCTCCCATCTTGATGGAGAAGGTCTTTCTGAAGCGTCTGTGTGTGTGTGTGAGAAAGAGAGAGAGGGCAGGGGGAGAGAGAGAGAATTTCCCTGACTGGGACTGTCCTTTGTCCTTGTTATAACAACTGTCCTTGCTATAACCAAATTACGATTGCTGGCTCCTAAACAACCACCCCCTTCTTGTACCATGAGTAATTTGTTTAAATATTATGATTTCAAAAATACTTCTTCCATGCAGACTGGAATAACTTCTGCCATAGAAAAGAAGGTTTTGGAAAGTGTAATGAGATGTGGCTTCTGGTATTGGGACTTTTTCCTCACACAGCTTCAAACTGAGCACAATTTTGGTACCTTGGAGGGATAAGCAGCCTGATGCTCTGCAGGCATCCCCACTCCATTCCACCCCTTCACAAGAGGGTTAGTTGGAACAAGTTACTGTCTCTGCTTCTCTAAAATAATGATGGTGGTTTCATATGCACTCTTAACTTCTCAGTCTTCAAATTTCTTTATTTATGTTAAAAGATTGGGGCAAAGTATTTTAATATTCCATTCTGGTAAATCATCCTACCTGATTCTGTAGTTACATCAGTTCAATCTCATTCCTCCTCATCAATAAAAATATTTTACTTATATGTTACCCACACTCTGAAAACTGATGAAAACATCTTCCTCTTTCCCTCAAAGTATTTTTGCTGCCATACCAGCATGGCCTTTTTGGTGTGATGGAAGCACAGATATGAAAAGGTCTGCAT